AGAACATTTGTTGGTTGAGATTTGAAGTTGCCACTTGTTTGACCAATCTGACACATAATCAAGGTCTTTTTGAAGGATAGCAGCATTGTCTGTGGTGTTGAATAGTTTTACATCATCAGTGAAGAGAATGCAGTTGCTTTTAATATGATTGCAAACATTTATGTAAAGTATAAAGAGTGTTGGTCCTAAAATGCTGCCTTGGGGAACACTGCTGTTAAACAGGTACAGGATTTGATAGAGCACTTCCTATTTTGACCACTTGTTGTCTGTTTGACAGGAAGACAGCTATCCATTGATGCAGGAGTCCAGAAATGCCATAAGATTTTAGTTTTAGAAGTAGTTTGTCATGTACCACTGAATCAAAGGCTTTACAGAAGTCTATGTAAATTGCATCTATTGCTTCGCCCTGATTGAGATGTACAGTCCATATGTTTTTGCAATGTAGTAGTTGTAGATTACAGGATAATTTTTTTCTGAAATCAAATTGTTTGCTGGAGAATAGGTTGTTTGTCTCTAGGTGAAGGATAATGGATTTGTTAATGATTGATTCCATGACTTTGCAGGTGACGCAACATAAAGATATTGGTCTGTAATTTTCAACTAGGTTGGGATCTTCCATTTAGTTTCATAGACCTATACAGTCTTTTTCTTTATTTCATTTCATTCACTAATCCATGCTTTTTACATTTATTCCTCCCACATGCCAAATCGTAATTTTTCATATGCTCTGATCATCTTCAGATAATCCAACAGAGACTGACCTCATTAGCCCATCATGGCTTTTGTTAAATGCGGTTTTCACATATTGATAAAATAAAAATAAACCCTATTGTTGAAACAGAGAAAGTGTAGGCTGATTTACACTACACTAGGCTGTGAATTGTAAGAAGGATTAGCATTAGAATTTGTCACATTTTGGTCAGTATGCTAGAGTATGCAACAAAAAAACAAAGAAAAAACCTCCTAGAATGTATATGGATCAATATAAAAGAAAAAAAAGAATGACATTGTCAGAGGTGTATACTACAGGCCACCCAACCAAGCAGAAAAAAATAGATGTACTTTTTGCTAACCTATTAACAAATATATGTAGGAAACACACAATAGTAATGGGAGACTTTAATTATCCTGACATTAACTGGATGACTAATTCTGCAACAAGTGAGAAATCGAATAGGTTTCTGACCAACTTAGCTAACAACTTTATTGTCCAAAAGGTAGAGGAGGGAACTAGTGGGACAGCCACACTGGACTTAATTCTTACGAACACAGAAGAAGTGATGGAGGGAGTTGAAACTGCAGGAACCTTGGCTGAGAGTGACCATGTCATACTAGAATTCAATATAATGCAAACACAAGCAATAGAACATAATTATACCAAAGTCTTAAATTTTATAAGAGGTGATATTAACAAACTCAGAGAGAACTTGGGAAAGATTCCTTGGATGAAACTCCTAAAGGGGAAAACAACTCAAGAAGCTTGGGAAACTCTGAAAAATATGATAATAAAAGTGCAGTCCAGCACAATACCACTGAAAAAGAAAAAACAAGAAATCCAAGAAGAAACCAACATGGCTGCACAAAGATCTCTGACAAATTGAAAGACAAAAAGAAAATGGAAAGAGGGACACATAAGTAAGGCAGAATATCAGCTGATAGCCAGAATCTGCAAAGATGAGGTCAGGAAAGCAAAGGTTCAGAATGAACAAAGACTTGCAATAAGAGATAATAAAAAAAAGTTTCTTCCAACATACAAATAACAATAAAAAAAATCAAGGAAACAGTTGGTCCATTAAAGACAGAGGACGGCAAAGAAGTAACAGGCAGCAGAGAGAAAGCAGAGCTGCTTAATTCATTCTTTGTATCGGTCTTCAAGCAAAAAGAAACTATAGCCCAACCTACCAAAAGCATAAGTGTAAAAGACAGACTAGAAATAAAAGTTAAATAAGCAAAAAAAAAAAATGGTAAGAGAACACCTGTCTGATCTTGATGAATACAAATAACCTGATGGATTACATCCCAGAGTTCTAAAGGGGCTGGCAGATGTCATCTCAGAACCACTGTAGCACATCTTTCAAAAATCCTGAAGCACCGGAGAACTACCAGTGGCCTGGAAAAGAGCTGATGTGAGTCCCATCTTCAAAAAAGAGGGAAAAAAACCAGACCAGGAAACTACAGACCAATCAGCCTAACATCAATACCTGGGAAGATACTGGAAAATATAATAATAATAATTTTAAAAAACCAGATCTGCCAACATCTAGAAATGAGTAAAGTAATAACTAGAAGTCAGCATGGGTTTGTTAAAAACAGATCATGCCAAACCAATCTTATTGGAGGGAAGTAAGCAATGGGGTACTACAAGGTTCCATCTTAAGCCCAGTACTTTTCAACATCTTCATAAATGACTTAGATGAGGCAATAGAAGAGGAGCCTATCAAATTTGTGGATGTTACTAAGTTGGCAGGAATAGCCAATACCCTAGATTAGTGACGGCTAACCTTTCTGGACCGAGTGCCCAAAGCACACCCGAACACCCAAAATGCAATGCACACGTGGCCCTGGACATGCCCCCCCCCACATGCGCACACACCCTTGCATCCCCCCCACCCCCAGGCATGCACGCACACCCCCACATGCACCCCGCTCCCCCTGCATGCGCGCATGACCCCCTCGCACATGTCCTGCCCAGGCGCATGCACGGCAGAGACACTCGACCATATTTAACAAAATGAAGTCAAGATCAAGAGAGGTACTAATACCACTCTATGAAGCTTTACTAAGGCCACACCTAAAATACTGCATCCAGTTTTGGTCACCACACTATAAAAAAGATGTTGAGACTCTAGAAAGAGTGCAGAGAAGAGTAACAAAGTGATTAGGGGACTGGAGGCTAAAACATATGAAGAACGGTTACAGGAATTGGGCATAGCTAATCTAGTGAAGAGAAGGACTAGGGGAGACATGATAGCAGTGTTTCAATACTTGAGGGGTTGTCACAGAGAGGAGTGGGGCAACCTGACTTGCAAAGCACCTGAAGGCCAGACAAGGAACAATGCATGGAAACTGATTAAGGAGACATTTGACCTAGAAATAAGGAGGAATTTTCTGACAGTGAGAACAATCAGCCAATGGAACTGCTTGCCTTCCGAAGTTGTGGGAGCTTCATCACTGGAGGCTTTCAGGAAGAGACTGGACTGCCATCTGTCAGAAATGGTGTAGGGTCTCCTGCTTGGACGAGGGGAGGGTTGGACTAAATGACCTACAACCGTGATGGCAAACCTATGGCACACATGCCAGAAGTGGCACACAGTGCCCTCTCTGTAGGCACACGATTCGTTACCCCAGCTCAGCTCTGCTGGTCTTTGTGTCTCTGCGGTTCATGCACAGGGGGCGGGGTGTACATGGGGGGGGCCACATACGCATGCATGGGGTGGGGCACATGCAGAGGTGCATGCATGCATTGGGGGTGGGGTGCATGCAGGGGCACACACATGCGGAGGTGGTGCGCATGTGGGGGGCCATGCGCGCATTGCATTTGGGGGGTTTGGGCATGTGCACTTTGGGTACTCAGTCCAGAAAAGGTTAGCCATCACTGACCTACAAGTTCCCTTCCAACTCTGTTTATCTGTTAAGTTTACCCTAAGCACCTTCACACTAGCATTTAGACATCACCTGGCAAACCAATATAACCTTGCATCTCTATAAGATATGTACATATGTGTGTGCATCTCTCTCTTACACAAACACAAACACATACAGAGATACATACGTGCATGCACAAGTACACTACCTACACACAGGAAAGCTTTCCTTGATTGCCAAATGTAAGGCCACCCTATCATTAGCATTTACATAAGAGGATGCCAGAAAAGTAATGACTTTACCATTGGAGTGCGGTTCAGCACAATTCGCGATCACCAAGATTTTCTTTCAAGTCGTTCTAGCAGAGGAAATGCCAGCCTTTGAGTCAGTTTAAACTTGGATTTTTGGGCCAGAGAATAAATCGGTGAGCCTACACAACTTTGGCGAAGATTTACTAAATGACAAGAGATTTGTGTGCGCGCAGCCACACAAGCGACAGGAGGGAATTTCATCATACGACCATTCTCGTCCACTCCCCCTTTCTACCTCCATGGAAACCTGCTGTGCGATTTGCTTGCTAAAGGGACAGCTTTGAGAAAAGCAGGCTGCCTTGCAAAGCGAGTGAGCGAGCGGGGCTGTCCTCCCTTGACAAGGACAGTTGGCATGTGTGACAGCTGCACAGTGGCCGGGGATTATCTCTCTGGCGCACACAGCCGCCTTTGCGTGGCAGGCAGGAAGGAAGCCAAAGGCAGTATCTCCCGGGACTCGCGATGCAGTTTTCGGCGCGCCCGAGAGAGGCCGCCTGAGCAAACAAAAGCCTCGGCTTTTTCTATCCGCAGCTCGGAAGAGGTTTCGCACAAAGACGCTTTTCCTTGCCGTTTGACCCAGCCACCCCCGCCTGCACTGAACTTCTTGCAATCCTAACCGCGTACACGCGCAGCAGCTGGTCACATTTGCTTCAAAGATAGAGGAGCAGAGTGTTCTGTCCCGGCCGCCTCTCGGGTGCGCTGTGGCCGGTTGGCCAGCCGGCCGCCCGGCCTACCTTCCACCGCTCGCTCACCCCATTTGCCTGGCGCTGCCAGCCAGCGGAACTAACAACGCCAAGCTCCCATTTGTAGGCCTTGGCCGAGAAGAAAGAGCCAGTGTGTGGTCGGACCCCACGGTGGCTGAACGCCAGCAATTACGGGTTCCCGCTCTGGCGCTTCCCTCTCCAGCTGGAGGTGGAGTTGGCTAGGGAGCTCGTTGATTGCAAGCGGCTTGCGTGATCGCGCGCAGGATTAGGGCTAGGGGCTGAGTGAGGAAGAAGACGGAGGCGCCATTTGCTGCCGCGACACTCCACCTCTCTGGTGCACGAAAGCGAGTGGCAGTCAGGAACCTCCACAGGGCACACTGAGGTGGGGAGTGGAAGGGGCGGGCTGGGCTGTTGACAATCTGCTAGGCAGAAACTTACTAGCTCCCGGTCAAGTGGGAAATGCGGGTAGTTTCTAGTTTCCAGACATAGTAATAGGAAACCACATGGCGGAAAGTCCTCCCTTAGCCCTGAGTTGCAGGCTAGTTAGCAGGCAATACTTAAAGGACGAAACGACCGCTTGCATTTCCTAGTGGAGACGTTAGTTTAAAAATGAAAGGAGGTGGAGGAGGAAATTGCACCTAATCTCCCCAAAGAGTTTGTTTGACAGGACGGTAGATGGGACGGTAATATACATTCAATAAAAGAGCCGCTTCCCATAAACTTCCATTCTTCTCCGTTTAAAGCAAGGGCGGGGGGTAGGAATCGGATATCGCTGGGCTGCTCCCAAGCCCCTAGTGTTAAATCGAGACCGACTCGGCCAACCTCTCGGCTAATCTCCCATACGCTAATAGAGAGAATGTCTTTGAATGAATGAGTCCGACTATGCCCTTAAGGCAATCGGCGTTGCCTACCTCTGAGAGGAGAACTAGTAAGGAGTCAGGCACATTACGTCAGACTGAGCTTTTTCTAAAGAGAAAAGTGTGGAAATAAAGCTTGAGGCTTTGGTTCCTGATGAGCGATCCTGGGTTAGAAAGGATGGAGGAGTGTGCTTGAGAAAGACAGCCCACCCCTGTCCTTCCCTTTCCCGCGGATTGTGTCGAACTGCCTTGTGTTTTAGTTGGACGGGATGCAGGTTAGTTATTAATACTCTGGCTGCATGAGTGCTTTGTCAGTGGATCCCTTCAAACTGGCAAATGTTAAGAGGCTTTCCTCTGCAAACTTTATTGTTGTTGATACCAGGTTTCTGTGCTCAATAAACAGGAAAAGCTTCAAACTTGAGCATGCCCACCCACCAATTTATCACTGGTAGGCGAAATGTTTTTCACAATGGTGACTTCCTCTGAAAATCTAGCACTTGAAAGCCACACTTTCTACCCTTCTAGTTTGATTTTGTTTTTTGCTAAGAATAAGCTCTAATGTGAATGTTGTTCACCATTTGCAAGCAACACAACAGCAGTGATAGCCTCTGACCGAAAGACTTAGACAAGTTTGAAGTGACAGGCACCCGGATGTCCTCACTGCTGCTGCTCTTGAAGGAGCAGACGATTAAGAGTGAGGTGTTTCCTGCTTTCACAGTGGGCTTTGCGCTTGTATTTGTGCACTGTACAGCACAACATCTTGACTTCAACCTACAAACATTTCTTGGCAAGACAGATAATATCGCTGATTACTTATGTCTGTTTTCCAATTGTGTTGATGGAACTGGGTGGCCGAAAAGGAAGATTTCACATTTGGAGTTTTGCTTTCCAGGGCTCTTCATATTTGGTGATCTTCTTAACTAGGCATGCTGGTGTTTTGTTTTGTTTTTCTGTGGGTATTCATTAGCAATAGGATTTTCTATAAGCAATACTTAAAGAGCATTATGTTTCGGATCATCTCATCAAACTTTGAGAAAAAATTAGGGGAGCATCATTAGTTTATCCACTTCAGTATGAACCCTGAAAAAATTCAGTGTGAATAAAAAGAAAAAAAATATTTAATTCATATGCCAGTCTACCATTCAGTTCTCCAGTTTGAGAAATAATGAAATGCTTCCTGGGTTGATTGAAAGTAAATTAAATATTATTTGCCATAAAGTTAGAGATAGAAACTATTTAAAAACATAAAATGTGGCAGACTTCAAGATTATCTGGTAGATGTCTTGAAAGATGTAAATGGGATAATTGTTAATTTTGACTGTTAGTTGTGTCTGAATCTTACTTACAGAACAGATAATATCCAACTTAACTGGATGCTATTTATTTAAGAATTTGATCAGAGGGCAACTTCCTTTGAGTCAGCTTTTGGTCCAGATAATTTTCTTTTCCTTACAACACATCTGAATAAAGTACACTAATAGTCTTCTCTTTCTCTTTCCACTTCTAGTCTGTTGTTCAGAAAGGGGATGAGAAACCCACACATTACCAGCAAGGCAGAGTTTCAGAGTAATCCTTAGGGACCTGATTGTTAATGAGGTAAGTAGATTTGACCTGTAATAAAACATTGTGCTGTCCTGTGTGATATATTGGAATCACTGTAACATTAAAAAGAGCAGTAAGCAGCCTTTTCAATCTACTCAAGCCAAGAGATTCTGATAAATGAATGCAGCAATGCTTTAACAGTTTCTGTGTAAAAAATCTGATAGGACAAAGTCTTTCAAAATTTTGATTCTTACTATTAAAAAACATTGGGAATCAGATTGTCACAGGGTCAGAGTGAGTGGTTTCCACTGCAAGATGCATTACCAAAGATGCAATATAATAAGCAGATTTTGCTAGCTGAAATGGGCAAGGTCTTCATATATAGGCAAAATAAGGAACATCTGAAACATAGTAGACCAGTGTTAAGTTCTACTGAATACAATTTATAACTACATATAGACAAAGAATGGCTCCATACCTGCATCATACAATCTGATCCACCCGAATCCTTAAGAACCAGTGCCAAAAGATTTATTTCCAAGCAAATACAGTAGATTTGCTTAGGATTGAAGTCCAGTCTCAACTGAGTTCTGTCTGATGAAGACTTTGATGAGAATTGGAAGCTTACATCACCTTTACAATTTTTACTTTCTTTTAAATTAATATCCCATGGGTCAAACCACACAATAATCCATATAAGTAATAAGAAAGTGGGGCTCAGATTTCCTAAGTGTAAAATCAGGCCAAGAATAGGAAGGCTGGCATGGAGACAATGTAGCTTTCATTTGGGAGAACAAACACAGTAGTGCAACGTTAATAACTGGGCCTTGCCTGTCTTTTAATAGCTGTTAACGTCAGTGAAGGCTCGTGAATAAAGGTGTTGAAAAGAAGTGGAGTTTGAGGGGGGCTTTTTTCTTTTTCTCATATGCACCCCCGCGCTTTTTTTTCCCACCAGGCAAGGCAGCATCTGCTGTATGTTGCATAACGATCTCTCGGTTAGTCGTTTCAATGCAACCTTATTTGCATCAAGGAAGAAAGGCGAATGTTTTTTCGGCTCTCCTCGCGAGCCCTCCCCCACCCTGCCTCCCAGCCCTGATTTGCAGACTCCTCTGGCGGGAGAGCTCTCCCTAATTACAAGATCTTTTCCAACAGGGGGCGTGTAAACCCAGCAGCAGTTTGACTTCAATTCTGCCTTGGCGACATTTAATAGATTCTGGCAGCGTTTTCACTTACAGCCCTTCGTTAGGAGGGGGAATCGGGAATAATTACCCGGCAATAAAATATCTCTTGTGCACAGAACCTCGTGGCGCGAGGTCTTCGCTAGGAGGCTATTACTCTTGTCAATATTTTTTAGAGAAAAATATTTGATTGTGGTTCCCCTCCCCCTCCTTCCAGCCTTTACACACCTAACAATTAGAAGAACCGGTGCGCACACACGCACACGGGCACTCTGCTGATTCGCACTGATTTCTGTGGAATGTGTTTACTCTTCCATTTGCATCGGAAGCGGATGATAAATTTCATGTCCAGTTAAAAGGTGCTTTACAGAATAAGGATGAGGACGGAATTCTTTTAAATTATCCTAAGTATTAAATGAGCTATGTCTGACTTCCAGAAAAACTGTGGTGATTGGGTGATTTGATTGAAGGACTGTGGCCTTTCGTTCTAGGCTAGGATAATTGGAATAAGAACATTTCGGGACCTCTTTTGCCAGGGTGTTATTTCTTTTATTAGGCCCACAAATGATTGGTAGTTGTGGGATTCAAGGTTCTAGGAAAACTGCTTTCAGCCTTAATCTCAATCTTCCCAGTGACTGGACAGCTTGTCCCCAACAAAAAAACATTACCTGCAAACCTCCCTCCCCAATTGAAGAATTCTTCCTGACTTAATGTGTGCATTTCATTTCATGAAGGAGAGCCAGGGACGCATATTAATCTGGAGGGGTCAGAGTGCCTGTTTGTTTTAAATGGCTGCCCTGATAGAATGGAAGAACCCCTCCCCCCTTGTTCTCAAGAAGGGCTTTTTGCATTTTCCTATCTCATAATTCATAAAGAGGCACCTAAAATCATGAAATAAAATGTGATATGTTTAATTTTGATTTATGTTATATGAATCCAATTGCTTGTTATGTTATGAATTAAGTTAAGAAAGTGGTGTTTTAGTATATATTATTGATCCAAACTTAGTCTTACAACCTTGAGGTACAAATTGCAACTTTCCAGTTGGCTTGAAATCTGGCATTTTTTGTCTATATGATTAATGCCTACCTAAAAGTCTGCAACAAACATCACAAACAACTTTCTGCCCCTCAGATTGGAATGGGTGATCCATTCCAATCTGTTCCTGGCACCAGTATCTCTGCTGCCTATTTTCCCATCCTCTGCTAGAATAATGCTGGTTCTCCTGAGGCCCAATGCAAAAGCTACATCGTTCAGATTACTCACCAGGATCTAGCTAGCAGCCTGATGAATGTAAGAAGAGAAACATAGTCCAGCACCTGCTGCATGTACCAGATAGGACACATTCAGCATGTGGACAAATATAAAAGTATGCATTCATTCACCACATTTATAGGAACTGGGATGAGTGGCTCAGGAAACCTGGGCAGCAAAAGAACTGCCTTCCACTGAAGTATCTGGGCCAATTTGGGATTAGCTACCATAATAGTTGCTTCTCCCTTTCCTCTGGTCATGCCTGCTCTAGACCAGGAATCTGATTACCTCACCCTTCTTACATTGACATGCTGGTAGTAGCTCCAGGCCACTGGCAGACCTTGTTCTGTCAGCAGCAGCAGTCTCTCAGTGGGCTCCCTGCAAATGCCGAAGGCTGACACTGTTCCTCTCCCCTTCTCACCCGGCCACGAAGTCGATCGATCAAACAAATTATATTCAATAAAAGCTAGCAGGAGGCAGGAAGCTGAATCCAGGCAGCGCAGCAGCTGCCTACACATTTTGGAAAGGCTGCCAGACGAGTAAATAAGAGGAAAGGAGGCTTCCCACGCAGGCAAACTGATTTGTTCCGACTCTCAAAGAAAGTGGCAGTAATGGAAGTGGCCTGTAAGACTTGCTTTCTGGCTAAAATCAGCCAGCATGCTTTCTTGAGCTAAATGGGATGAGCTGCTCTGGATGCCAGGTTGTCAGTGGTCTCACATGACCATAACACACCAGCACTCGGAGCATATTTATTTGGGAAAAATATTCTTTCCGGACTTGAAGAAGTTCAGATCTTCCAAGTTAAGTTATTGGAGGCTGCAGATATGTTAAGCTAAATTTTATTACCTTTCTTTTCTTCAGATTTAGCACCTAGTCACCTATGATTGATTTTTAAAAAACTAAACAGAATCAAATAGGGAATACTTGAATAGGAGATCCCTAGGAACATCACCTATGGACTAGACTAGAAAGTCTGAAGAAAGTGCTTGCAGAGGTATATACATACATACATACATATACACACACACATCAGAAGAAGGCAATGACATACCCTTTTATATTGTTGCCAAGAAAATTACAAGACTATGAGGCTGTAGTCACCAAAAGTCAAGCTCAGCTGGAGGAGTCTTACCACTGCATTTGTGCTGTTTTCCATTCAGAAAACCCTTTGATTTCCTACTGTGTTGGATTATTAGAGGTTGTGTTTATGTAAATACTGATACTTGTAACATGAAAACAAATTCCTTGTCCTACCAGAATGGAATAATGTGAATCACAAAAGGAAATGTTATGGAAAAATATAAGATATGCTGGTCAGATCCTTGAAAAGGAATCTGCTCTGTCCCTCAGGGAGCCAGTCTTTTCACAATCTTTGTTCCAGAAAAGCAGCCTCAGAACAGACATTCTCCTTCAATATTAAGCCTTTTGATTTTACCTTAAGCCCTGTCCTCATTTGCACCAAAGCCCTGTCATCTTTCTTGCCTTAACCCCAGAACATCACCCTTAGCATCACCCAAGCCCCTGAACAAAGCAGCCTTAAGTCATTATTAGCAACACAGGTATGAAAGTAGAATTTCCCCCCTTATTCTTCTTAAAGTATCTGAAGCCTGTTATGCTTCAACACCTGTTACTTCAGAGTAGGTTATTAGTAGTAGGTGTAATCAAAGGTGTGTTTTGCTCTGTATTTTTGGAGTTTCTTTTCTTTCTCCTCACCACACCCCTCCCCTGGTCCCCTACAATTCTGAAAACTTCTCTCCAGGCTTTCAACAAAGTTGAGAACAGCAAAATGAACTTTACTTATTTCATGGGGTATAAGGGGGGGAGGGCAGTGGTGGAATTCAACTTTTTTAAACTACCAGTTCTGTCGGCATGGCTTGGTGGCATGGTGTGGCTTGGTGGGCATGGCTTGGTGGGTGTGGCAGGGGAAGGATACTGCAAAAACTCCATTCCCTCCCCACTCTTGGGGGTTATTGCAAAATCTCCATTCCCACCCCACTATGAGGCCAGCCAAAGGTGGTATTTGCTGGTTCTCTGAACTATTCAAAATTTCTGCTATGGGTTCTCCAGAACCTGTCAGAACCTGCTGAATTTCACCCCTGGGGGTGGGAAAGGAAATGATGCTAAACCACCTCAATCCTATTCACAAATGAACCTTTAATTGGAGGCTAGGGTTAAAATGCAGGCAGATCTGCCTTTCCTCACTGCTTCCACTGGCACTAACTAATGAATAATGACAGAAGGTTTTGCTTCAATTGTCTCTGAGGTTATTTTTCCCCTAGTATGTTCCCATACACCATTTCTTTTTAATATCATGTGATTTTAACTTGAGAGATACCCAATGACATGTGGAAAGAGGAGTAGGCTCACCAACTTAGGGAATTCCAGATAGAGCCTTAAAGTCAGACTTACCCCATTCCTTCTGCAGTGCCCTCCTTAGTGGGTGTTTTCCCATTGTGTGGTGATAGACTGAAAGAAGAAGGCAACACAACCAGAAAAGAAAACCAACTGTCTTGTTTATAACCATTGCCACATTCTCCATCTATGACAAGACCATTTGGCTTCATCTTGGGACAGATACATTAAAGCAGGGGTGTCAAACTCGATTTCATTGAGGGCTGCATCAGGTTGCGGGGGGGCACGGTGTGTGTGACCAGCTCAACATCACTCATGTCAGGGGTGCCTGTGGTGGCCCAAGCACTCTGCCAGTGAAAACAGAGCTCAGGAGGGCCACCCATGGGGGCCATCCATTTTTGCTGGCAGAGGCACCATGGGCCAGTCCTTCACTGTTTCCAGGGTGGCCCCACGGGCCAGATCTAAGCACCTCATGGGCCAGATCCGCCCTCCTCCCCCCACCCCCGGGCCTTGAGTTTGACACTGCTGCACTAGAGGTAGCATAGATTTTAACAATGGAAACAGCAACTGTTATATTGGCATTGTTTTGTGCTGATTCAAGGAATAGTAGGAAGCACTTCAATACAGTGGAAAGTCTTCCTTATTTTCCCCCTTTTTTAGAACGTTCTTTAGTGACTCTGGATTAAGTGGACTTTTATGCAATGCTCTGGCTACAAATACACAGCTGCAAAGTAAAGCATAATAAAGAGTGTAGGATCACATTGCTTCTGGAGTATAACAGTGTCCACTGATCTCTCATCATGTTCTTTTTCCCCACTCATTTAAAACAATGGGACTACCCAGTGTCTGTCTTAGATACAATGTAAATGAGAGAGCATCCTTCACATTACAAGGATTATATAAAATAAAGTTTAACTTCCTGAATCTCTTGAATAAGCTGGGTAACCTTTACTGAATGGCAAAATTGACCTATTATTGAAGAGAATATATGTAACTTCATAACAATCAAATAAAATAGTAATCTGCCAGCTCAGAAAATAAAAATACATTTAATCTTTTTCTTTTAAAAAAATCTTTCTTGTGAATTTATAGTGGCTGCCATTTCTTGTGGATATATTTGGAAAGTTTTGCTGAGATAAGGGACATTGGAAAAGCTTCCAGACTGATCTTCCCTCTATCTGCTGCTTTGTCTTTGTTCATAAAATGCAGATATTAGCCAACAAGAATCAAAAATAAAAAATGCAGAAATGAAGGTGGACATTCTGTGGTTCACAAAGATTGATGGTCTCCATAAATCATCTTAATTAGTCATGCTGTTTAACACTGCTAGAAGCTGGAATTCAACAAGTTCTGGAGGGCACAGTTTACCCATCCCTGTTTTGAATAAGGCTTCATCAGCTGTTGTCTCCAGAAAACTTAGCCCAAACTCTGGTTATCTGCATTTGCCATTCTGGCTGGAGGATTATGGAAGTTGAAACCTAATGCATCTGGAAGTCATAAATATATATTACAAATTTTGAAAGAAAAGAATTATAAAGCTTGTTATAGATGGACTCAAAGTAGGGTGGGGGGGGACAGCATTTTTCTAACCTGAATATTAATAACTCTCTAGAAAATGTTAAATATTAGCCTAGTTTTACCAGCAACATTTTGCCTGCAGATTAGATTAAATCCAACTCCTCAAATGAGTGAAATAAGAGTTGTGTGTATATGCATAATTCACACCAAAGTTCATGTGTATGTTCAGAACTGTGACTTTAATCAATAACACCCTCATCACAGAAGAGTAGTTGTTTCCCTTAAACATTTGTGCCAATTTCTTCTAATGAGGTACACACACATACATATATATCCTTATTAGGTATCTATAAACAAAAAAAAGTATGGCCACCTCCTGGGCTATGGTGGTAGAACCATCCTTTCTTGAACTACAGATTCCTTGTTTATTTATGTTTTATACCTATTACTCCTCCCTCCTTTTCCTCACATCAGCTCTGTGAGGTGGGTTAAGGTGTGAGAGAACAACTTATCCAAAGTCACCCAGCCAGCTTTCATGCCTAAAGCAGGATTAGAATTCTCAGTCTCCTGATTTCCAGCCTTGTGGCTTAACCACTAGACCAAACTTGCTTTCATGCCAAGTACAAGAATCCCAGTTGATCAGATGTGAACTTCATATGGTAATGAATAATGTAATCTGCTTCTTCCCTTTCAGCCTAGTGCATAAGGAATGCATTAGAAATGCAAAACATAGAAGCAGGTATTGAAAGATTCACACAACCTGAGAGGCTGCATATGAAATGTTCTTGCTTGCCTAAAGAGGAGTATAGAATGTGATCAATATATTGCAGTTGAATGTTTAGCATTGAAGCCAGCCTCTGAAAGGATAATTAATAGGAGGGCCCAGAGTGACAGAGACTTTGCCTTGGGGACACAACAGAATACAGGCTCATGAAATTGACTAGCTCTGTCTGGAAAAAGACAGGAAGATTCCCTGTTATTTTCCTTAAAGGGCTGTGAAGTTGATTAGCCTGTCCTGGAGAAATGTGCTGGATATCTCCTCATCACACCTTCTTTCGAAGGATTTCAAATAATGCAGTAAGATCTCTCAGATAGTTTCCAGGATATGTGGCCTTGCTGTTAACACATGTTTCAATTTGAGGTGGAGGCTGTCAATTACCTGCTGTGCTGTGAGTCAGCCCCCCCCCAACTAGACTGGAAAGAGAGCTGTTGACCTTCCAAGCCTGGCCAAGCCCCTTTCATTTCCTCCTTTCTTATGACATATTCTCCCCCACCCCCAGCGAGCCACCCCTGCCTCTCCCACACCAAGAGGTTGTGCTTGCATAGGATTAGCCAGACCCTTTATCTTGTGAATTAACATTATGTATATATTTGAACCATTGCAATAGGTCATCTTTTGCTAAGGAATGAGGCTGTCTTCCTCCCAACTTCAATCTGGCTTCTTTCCCTGTCTTCTAAAACCAGAGTGGGAGGACATTCTTTAAAAAAAAAAATCTCAACACCCCTCAGTCTGAAGCAGTTAAGTGTTGATGTGTTAGTACATCTACAAATATTCAAGCCTTAAATGCAGAAATACAAATTTTAGGTTTGCCAATGGCTTGATTTTTTTTTCTTTGTAAACAACTGACCATTGCCATTTAAATATGCTATTTATTCTCCAGAGTCAAAGCAGCTCTAGGATGAATGGAGAAATACCACCAAGCTCATTTTCTTGCAAATTGTCTGAATATTCCAAAATAAAGCTATCTATAATTTACCTGGAAACAAAATCTATTAATCTCCTTGGGAATGAACTTTCTGAAATGTCACAATCAATACAAGAATTTTAAAGCAGACTCTTGTTATGGGTGTGGGATCAAGCTCACTGTCATTTGAAGGTAAGGCGTTCAGAGAGAAAAAAATTAGATGACTGGGTATATTTTGGAGAACCATTTATTTAGTTACGCCTATTTGCCTTCCACATCTAGCAACAGATTTGCAAAGGCCTTCCTTTTTTGTTCCTTCCAAATGAAATTTTACTGCCAACTTCTCTCCAGCAAGTCGCCTGCTATTCCGGACCCGTTCCGCGGGAGATGCAGAGATGCGTTTCCTCTCTCGACACGCCGCCACCGCTGCTTGCCTTCAGGCTCTTTCGCCAATGTTTTGGAGATCGAACCCTCCGCGATTTCTCTTCACCCATCGCTTCGCCCGCCTCCCCATCGACCACCCCGATGCTTCTCTGACGGTGAATGCCACGTAGGCGGCAGCCTATAAATAATTTCCATTATGTTCAGTTGACAGCGCGAGACGATTAATTTTAATAGCTGTATATTTGCCTGGCTCGCCTAATGCCCGGTAATGAGATGAGAATCCACCCAACCCCAGATGGCTCCCTCTTTCGAGGGAGACAGAGACGGGGACGGGGGAGAGGAAAGGACAAGCTGGCCGGGCTGTCGTGGGCACCGACCCTTCTTAGGAGCAATTCGGCCGCCGGGCCCTGCAGTGTCATGGGCCTTTGAATCCCACCCCCGCGCCTTTCTTTCTCAGTGTCCGGACTCCAGCCCATTTCCTGCCCTCGGCTTGTGAGGTCTCGGCGGCCGGCAAGCCCGGCTCCTTCCTCGGCTTTGAAACCTTGGAAGAAATGGTGGATGGCTGCGCGCTCGCGTTTTCCTTCTGGGAGCGATTTAACTTTTGCGCTGCGGTCGACTAGGCTCTCTGAACACGATCCTGACTCTTGTCGTTAGGGGCGGGAGGGGATCGCGAATACCAGCCCGTCCGATTAACCTAAATATCCCGACCTCCGGGCTAAGAGGCGAGAGATTTCGCCTCCTCGAGCGCGCGTGTCTGCGTGTGGTGGCGGGAAGGCTGCAAGGAGCGGGCGCTTCCGGAGGAGCTGCTGCTGCCCTTGTTTCGGAGCGTGCAAAGGGCGCGCGCCAGGGTGCACGCGCTTTGGTGCGGGAGCTGGGAATAAACAGGCCGCGGCCGTTTCTCGGGCGGCTGAGGGGGAGGGGGTTCCTCGCCGGCTCCCTCGCTCCCGCGATTGACAAAAGCCGAACTGAAGAGGGAAGCTCGCTGGATCAGCACGGCGGGAAGGAGGGCGATGGGGGAGGGGAAAGAGGAGGCAGATATTGGAAACGGCTGGGACGCGCGCCACGGAGGGGGATTTCTAGCTCCGCGGTGGGTGGGAAGGGGGGCGGACTTCACGACCTCCAGCCCCGAGCAGGCTGTTCCTCGCTTTGCCTCCGGAGCCAGGAGGGCTCCTTCTGCTTCTGCGGCGGCAGCGAGAGAGCACCTGTGTCTTTCTCTATGCCCGTCTCCTTCCTCCTCCAACCCACCCACCCCCATCTACACAATACTAATTACCGCAGGTAATTGCGTTTCTCTGGAAGATCATTTGAAGTTCTAGGGTGTGCGTGTGCTCAGTTCTTTTCTTTCTCTTTTATACTAGCAAAAGATCTTAGTCGGCGCTTTCGCGTTCTCCCTCCTCCACTCCGGGCTCTTGGCTGTGTTTTAAATATAAATGGGCGGTGGGGGTGGAAGGGTCTTCCTATAAGGCTACCGTCGACGCAGGAGAGCTATAAGCTCTTTTTTTCTCTACCAACCTTGAGGTAGACGCGAAGGGAAAGCTCAATAAATAAATCTCCGACCAGCGAATTCTGCCTTAATTCTCAGAAGCTGAAAAGGAGGAGAAGGAAAGAGAAAGGCGGAGGCAAATAGAGTTTGAGAAGCGGGTAGCTTTTTATTGCTAGAAAATAAAAACAAGTACAGTACAGACGCGCGCCCCCCCCCCATCTAAAAGGTTGGCCCAGAGGGCCTGCCAGGAGTCTCAGATGAGCGCAAGCCATTTCCGGGTTGTTTCTTAAAGCACGGAGCAGCACAGGAGAGAAATGCCGAGGAGATGGATGTGTGCTCTAGAGCCTGACATCTGCAAGTACTAGAGCTGTCCCGGAACAGTTTACAACTGCTCCGTGAAGTGGGAAGGGAAGGTGCAGTGAATGGGCCTCTCTCTTTCCCGGCTTTTATGTAAAGTTGGAAAAAGGTGCCCCCGATAGTGTCAGGAAAGTGAAGAGAAGTTTAAAGGACCAAGCTGGTTTCCCACTGAGTCTTTCCCACAAGACCTCCTCTGTTCCATGAGGCACTGTGAGCAAGCATGTCCAGGCTTCTGAAACCCAGGTACTATTAAAAGTGGAATGGAAACAAGCTCTGCCACATTATAGAGGTTCTCAGTCATCCAGGTCATGGTTGTCCCAAAGATGATTTTTCAAAAAGGCAACTGTAATTTCTGTTTCACTTTTCATCAAGAAGCTTCTTCAGTTCTCGGCCACATGCTTTTGAAACCTGAACATGTAGAAACATTTTAAATATCATTCTTGTTTTCTTCACACAAACCTGGACAAGATTGATCTAGCTACCTATCCATTGCTAGTTCTAGAAAGCAGCACAAGAATCAAAACTAAAATTAACACATCTAATTGTTAATTGTTTTGGCAGATTTCTTTGCAAACAAAAATACTCTTCTTAGTATATGAAATCTAAAGGCTTCATGACGTTCTTGAGGTCAGTGTAATATCAATTCTACTCATCAGTCAATGCTAGCCTCACAAAAAACTCCCAGGTCATCTGCAACACCCATGTCAATACAATCTATCAGATTCTAGAAACATAATACTTTCAATACATTACCTTGAGTAATCAGTGAGACCTTGTTTTGAACAAACAGCTATCTTTTTTAAATGTTCACTTATTTTAACTGAAGAATTAAGCCTTTAATTTTATCTGAAATTAATGAAACTTAATATTTCATTTAGAGCACTTAATATTTCACTTAGAGCAATTACTAACATTATCTGTAGTTGGATCTGAAAACTTATAAGTTCAGGTGATAGGATAGTTTTATAAACTATTGATCTTTCATTTCCACTTTGGTTCTTAGTATGGCTATCAGATTTAGACAGAAAAAAATCAGGATACAATTACCTGGCATATGAACATCTTAACTCTTTACTGCCATTTCGTGGTCATGCGGATTTCTGCAGCCTAGACCTGATAGTCCTGCTTAAGAAAGTGTTTCCAATTCTTTGCTACTTCTGATGTTAGATTTCAATTCCCACTCATAGTGGGAATTCTCAGCAATAGATGACATGGCAGAAGGAGTCTGTGAGTGATAGTCCACACACCTGGAAATTTCCCAGATTGAGAAACACAGCCTTAGGAAAAGGTGACAATAAATTTCAAGTTCAACATCAGATCAGTCACTGGCCTACCAGGTTTTCTTGGCAAAAATATGTAAGTAGTTTGCTATTTTTTTCCTTGATATATTATGTGTGACTTATGCTGTAGGTAGGACAAACTCCTATAACTCTGGAGTTTCCTGGTGAAATCTCATCCAAGTAGTAATCAAACCTAACCTTGTTTAGCTTTAGAGCCCAGAAAGTCCAGCTCATTGCTGTCACACTCTGAGGCTATTTAAAAAATCATAATAAATACATGAAGGAAGAAAGGAAGAAAGGTGGAATGGTATGAATGAATGAATGTACAAGTGTGCTGGAGAGTAAAAAATGACAGTGTGAGGTAACTCTGTCCCCCCACATTTAAAGAGCTAGCCCTATCATGGTTAGAATTAATCTTCCTTAGAACAGATCTTCTTCCCTTCTTACAACCCAAGAATATAAACAAGTCAGTGGGGCTGTTCCCATACTTTAGGGTCTTCATTTGCACATTTCTATTTCATCTCAAATATGCATGCTTGCAAGTTTGGCAGCACAAACTTATACACTTGCCTTTACTTTCAACTAAACATGCACAAGACAGCAGTATAAAATTTCTACCAGCCTCTTATTTCTTAAATCAACAAGAGTGCTTCCTTCTAATTTTCAGCTGTTTCAAAGTTTAGGGGAATGGGAAAAGACCCATTTCCACTTTCTCATATAGCATCTCATTCTGCAACTGACTGGTTCAACAATCTCAACAATCTCTATTGAATTTGGAGGGACAGGATTTGTTGATGGGGTGGCATGCCTTTTTATGGTACAAAGGCACAAAAATACAAGGGTATTTTAGAAGACATCAGATACGTGAAGCTTTATGGTTGAATTGGGAGAAAGTCAAAAAATACCATTATTTGAAGATTCCAACCTGGATATCTACAACTGAAGCTTTTTCATATCCAGTAATACTCAAAAGGGAACAAATTATTAGGTATAGTGAATTGTTGGATGAAAAGGGTGAACTTAAATTAAAGCAGGAATTAGAAGACCAGGGATATAAGATGGATTGGTTTTCATATATGCAAATATTTTCTAGATATAGAGAAAATCTCAAACAAGAAGGTTTTTATAATGTCTTGACTAATTTAGATAAGATTTTAATGGGCTCTGATTATTATAATTAAAAAGTTGTATGGATATTTGTTAGAAGTAAAACTGGAAGAAGAACAAGTTAAAGAAACAATGATAGCATGGGGGGAAAATTTTGGTTACGATATTGATTTAGAGAAATGGCAAAAATTGTGGTCACATAATTATCAAATGACAATGTCTACAGCTTATAAGGATAATTTGTATAAGATGTTTTACAGGTGGCATTTACCCCTGACGAGAATAGCCAGAATGTTCCAGAATAAATCAGAGAAGTGTTGGAAGTGTCATCAGACTCCAGGATCCTATTACCACATGTGGTGGACATGCGTAGAAGCAAGGAGATATTGGACTAAGATACACACGTGGTTGGAAAAAATGACTAAGAGACATATTGATTTTAAACCAGAGATATTTTTATTAGGGATCTTACCAGAGACACATAATAAAGAATTGCAATATTTAATTGTGAACCTTTTAACAGCAGCTAGAATTGTATTTGCAAAAAATTGGAATGGAGAAAGGACACCTACTGATGAAGAAATTATTAAGAAAATGATGGACTGTGCTGAAATGAGTAAATTGACATTTGAAATAAGAGAGCAGGAAGATAACAATATTATTTGATATGGGATTTATTTTATCAATGGATGGACAATAAGACATGGAGATAAATATATAATATGTGGATGTTGAGATAAATTAAGTAGAATATTTCTTATGAAAATAAGCTTTGGATGTATAGTGATATTTTGAAGAGAAGAGGGAGCACAAAAGGATGTTAACCGATCGATACACTGTCTGTAATTATTTGGGAATGATGTTGTTTTTGTGTTTTATTTTTGTTTTAAAATAAAATCTTTGTGAAAAAAAAACAATCTCAATAATCTCAAAAAAACTTAAAGAATGAAATTGAGAATAGAGCTGACAATTGGATAAAGAATAGGGGGAGGAAGGAAGCACTCTCAAACAGGAAGTGGATTAAAGATGCAGTTTTGAACTGTACTTGATCTATAACAATACAGTAATGAACTCCTGGCATACATATGATCTGCAAACTGAATATGGAAATTAATGTAATACTGCCATATTACAAATTCTCACCTAACACCTATTCTGGGTAGAGGAGCAAGTATACACATCCAAATAAGTAGCAGTTTCTGTTTCTTCAACTCTAGATATAATTAACCATCCACTCTAGTCAACAAAGTGGACTTTTCCCCTTCATTTCTTCATTTGATATTTCTTTGTTGGTTTCTCTACAAAACTAGTTCATCATAGCTCTTTTTTGACAAGGGAAACTAGCCATCTGGACCTATTCAGTTTGCCAAATAACAATAGCTTTTCATAGGAACCTAATGCTTCACATTAGGACAATCAGAATATCAGATTAAAAACTGTTTATTATTATTCAGAGTACTATAGAGTAAGAAGGCTTCTGGGCAATTAGATCTTGAGCTTCATCTGGAGCAGGAAAGGTCAATTTAGGTTTGATGGGATTAAGCAAAGATGAACTGGGGTTGACCTTGTTCTTATCTACAAGACTGGAAGTAAAAGAGTAAGATTCCCTTTTTGTTTCTATATTTATTTTCTCCATACCAAAGTTATTAATCCATACATTAATTCAGCTAAATCAATTTCTGATTCATTGCCTGAGACTATTTTCAAACCAAGTAAAGAAGGGATTTTATACCAATATACTCTTAAGTTTAAGTTTAACTTTATTGTCATTGTACATATATACACAGTATACCCATACAATGAAATTCACTTAACACCCAAAGACCAGGCCCAACACACATAACAATCCCCAAACACTCCCCCACCTACCACAAATTTCCCGCCCCTGAACCACCCAAACATCCACACAACAGACCAAGTAATGCTGTCCAACAGCTCAATGATGGTGGCCCTTTAGTTCATTGTTGAGTGCAATTATAGGTCTGGGATAAAAACTATTCAGAAAACATGTGGTCAGAGTTTTAGTTGTTCTGTATCTTCTGCCAGAAGGCAACAGTCCAAAAAGATTGTAAGCAGGATGGGAAGAGCCTCTGAGAATGTTATGCAACTTCCTCAAACAGTGAGATGCAAAAATGTCATCCAGGGCTGGTAGCTGGAGCCCGATGATATTCTGGGCAGTTTTAATGATTCTCTGTAGAGCTTTTTTATCTGCTGCAGAGCTGCTCCCATACCATGCAAGAATGCCATATGTCAGGACACTCTCAATAGTGCTGTGATAGCAGGACAGAAGTAGTTGGTTACTTGGTTACTTCTCATTAAAATGATTTAACTCATGATCACCCAGACATATTGAGCTACTTTTAAATATGTCTTCATTCACAAAAATACTTTCCATTACAAATGAGTACATCTGCACCTCTCCATCTTTGATATTCAAATTGTTGTCATTGCCATTCAGATCAGTTTAGTGACTATAGTGGTGAATTTTGATCAATCCCTCAGCAGAGGCCCCAGATTAGTGGAACTGCTTTTGGTCCACTTTTTGTACTAGCTTACAAATGGCTCTGCAAGTTGCTGCCTGTTTTCCTCTTCTGAAGATTCAATCATATAGGAGGTATGATGTACCTTAGTTTTGTGTTTATACCAGAAATAGACCACTTTCTTGCCTATTCTATTCTGTTGTCCTTTGTATTATATTATTACTAACCTGACTATTACATGCTGTATAAATGATGAATTGAATAGTATGGTATGTATGGGAATTTATGCTTCTTTAGCTGAAGCTAAATAATTAGTAATAGAAGCAAATCTGGGCAAGAATATAAACAATTGTGATTCCAAACCAGTGGAAGGAAATTCTGTGGACATAATATACTTAGACTTCAGCAAGGCATTCAACAAAGTAGACCACAACCTACTTCTTGATAAGCTAGACAAAAGTAGGACAGATAGCATCATCACCAGATGGATTCATAACTGGCTGACAAACCGTACTCAATGAGTAGTCCTTAATGGGTCTACGTCTATATGGAGGGAAGTAAGCAGTGGGGTACCACAAGGTTCCATCTTAGATCCAGTACTCTTCAATATCTTCATAAAGACTTAGATGAGGGAATAGAAAGGGAACTTACCAAATTTGTGGATGATACTAAACTGGCAGGAATAGCTAATACCCTAGATCTGTGATGGCGAATCTATGGCACATGTACCAGAGGTGACACACAGAGCCCTCTCTGTGGGCACGCGCGCCGTCACCAGCTGCTCTTCTGGCTACTGTCACATGCATGCATGCTAGACAGCTGGCCGGCATGCATGTGCACCGGCTAGCTGCTCTCTTCCGGGTTCTGGTGCATGCATGCCTGTGCCGGAATTCAGAAGAGAGCAGCTGGCTGGTGTGCATGCACATGATGGAACCCTGAAGAGCAGCTGCCCGCCGTGCACATGTGCACCAGTCAGCTGCTCTCTTCCGGGTTCCAGCGCTCTGGCGCACTCCAGTTTTGTCACTTAGTGCCGAAAAGGTTAATCATCACTGCCCTAGACGATTGGCTCAAAATCCAGATGGATCTTGACAGACTTGAACACTGGGCCCTATCTAACAAAATGAAATTCAATGTAGAGAAAAGTAAAGTCTTACACTTAGACAAGAAAAACCCAAAGTACACATAAAGACAGGGTGAAACCAGGCTTAACCAGTTAGCAGGAACTGTGAGAGGGAGTCTTAGTGGACAACCAGTTAAATATGAGCCAGCAGTGTGCAGCGATAGCCAAAAAAGCCAATGCAATCCTAAATTCATTAACCAAGGGATACAATCAAGATCAAGTGAGGTACTAATACTACTCTATAAAGCTTTAGTAAGAGCACACCTAGAATACTGCATCCAGTTTGGTCACCACATTATAAAAAAGATGTTGAGACTCTAGAAATAGTGCAGAGAAGAGCAACAAAGATGGTTGGGGGACTGGAGGCTAAAACATATGAAGAATGGTTACAGGAACTGGGCATGGCTAGTCTAGTAAGAGAAGGAACCAGAGGTGACATAATAGTAGTGTTCCAATATTTGAGGGACTGTCACAGAGAAGAGGGGGTCAAGCTATTTTCCAAGGCACCCAAAGGCCAGACAAGGAACAATGGATGGAAACTGATCAAGGAGAGATTCAACCTAGAAATAAGGAAAAATTTTCTGACAGTGAGAACAGAACAGCTTGCTCTGGAAGTTGTGGGAGCTTCATCACTGGAGGCTTTCAAAAAGATATTGGGCTGCTATTTGTCAGAAATGGTGTAGGGCCATGATGGCAAACCTATGGCATGTCTGTTGGAAGTGGCACGCCAAGCCATCTCTCTGGACATGCGAGCAGTTGCCCGTTGCTGTTCCAGGTTCCGGTGCACCGGCCAGCTGGTCTTCATGCATGTGGGAGCACTGGAAACCAGAAGAGCAGCTGCCCGGTGCACAGGCGCACTGGGCAGCTGCTCTTCTGGTTTCCAGCATGCGCATTTACACCAGCCAGCTGCTCTTCTGGTTTCTGGCATGCGCATTCGCACTGGCCAACTAGTCTTTGCATGCCCATGCGTGCCAGAAACCAGAAGACCAGCTGGCCAGTACACATGTGCACGCTTGTGCTCCCCTTTCAGCACTTGATGCTGAAAAGGTTAACCAACACTGGTGTTGGGTCATCTGCTTGGACCTACAAGGTCCCTTCCAACTGTGTTAATTTGTTAAGTACTTGGTATGGCTAGTCTAGTGAGGAGAAGGACCAGTGGAGACATGATAGCAATTATCCTGTATTTGAGGGGCTCAGAAAGGAGGGGGGTCAAGCTATTTTCCAAGGTCAGACAAGGAGTAATGGATGGAAGCTGATCAAGGAGAGATTCAACCTAGAAGTAAGGAGAAAGTTTCTCCAACAATCAACCAATGCAACAGCTTGCCTTCAGAAGTTGTGGGAGCTTCATCACTGGAAGCTTTCAAGAAGAGATTGGACTGCCATTTTTCAATGGTGTAGGGCAGCGATTCTCAACCTGGGGGTCGCGACCCCTTTGGGGGTCAAACGGCCATTTCACAGGGGTTGCCAAAGCCCTCTCTCGCCCCCCCCAACGCCTTCACTCACCCTCACTCTCTGCCTCTGTTGGATCGCCGGCCGTTTGCTTACCCCGCCCACTCCCAATCTATTGCTGCCTCCTGAGTCCCAGCTGATGGCTAGAGGGAAAAAAACTGTTTAAATTCTTGCTGGGAGGCTTCAAAGGGCCATCCTACAGCTGATCAGTGTTAAAAGAAAACAAATGAGTACACCGGTGCCTGCAAAAATAGAAAAAAACAGCTTCAGGATAGGTTAATTAGCACAAATTGATTAGATCAGCCTCGACTCTCAGCTGATTTGCTCTCAGCTGTTTTGCAGAGGGCTCTGTTGCAGCTGCAAAAAAATCTCGAGCAGATTTTTTTCCACCTAGCTATGCTGAAAAAACGAAACTGAAAGTAAATCAGGGTCTTTGCTGCAACGTGACAAAATGAGGCAGAGAGAGATTTCTTTTTCTTTTTCCTCACCAAAAAAAGGTAGGTGCAAAACTGCAAACAATGGGAAATTTAGGGCAAAAAAGGAGGTTCAAGATTTTAAAACACAAAAGAAAAAAAGCTCTATTTAACTAGGGAATTGTAATAATTGAGATACTATTAATTGTATATTGTGTTGAAAGCAGAAATGGTTAAGTTGTGGTTTGGAGGAATATGGGGAAATTATTTGGTTTATTATTGGTAAATATAATTAATTGATTTGTAAGAAATTGGATTGCATGGAAATAATTGGAATATTCATGTTCATATTGATTAATATACAAAAAAGATAGTTATATAACTAATTGATTTATATTAAAATATTGAATTTGTATTAAACAACTATTACATAATTACATAATTA